ATGAAACACACACACACACACACACACACACACACACACACATATGTCTAGCATATATTGCATATCGTTGCTGTCGGGCAGAAACCTCGTATCTCCATGTTTTGGAATTTATGTTTTATTACTTTATTTTCACACCCGTTACATCTGTTTGTGGGTTTTAAATATTGAACTAATGAGAAATATTAACACCAATAATACTGACGCAGTGTTCAGTAATTGTAAAAACACAATTTTTTTGTGATTTACTGGAAAATAATGGTTTTGGACATACAAGGTTTCCCCCCAGACAGTGGCGATATATATTTTATGTAAAGGGCTTGTGCATAGTATATTATATAATATTATATATTATACTGTGTGTTCATGTAAAATAAAACAAGTCAATAAAATTGAACGTGACACATATTTTAAATTTAAAATCTAATCTGTGTTTTGGATTTGGATAACATTGTGAAAGCGCAGCGGGCAGATTTCGGGTCAGTGTGAACTCTGATTCACCCCGAGTTTCATGGATTAAAACACAAACAACGTATCCTTAAAACCTCCTGACCCCGTGGCCAAATGAACAGACTCGTCAGGGTTCACGGGGAGTTGAGCGGTGCTGATACAGATTTCCATGATGCCGCCGGTTCTGCGGATGAGGATGAGGATGGTGATGATGATGGTGATGGTGTCGGTGATGATGTGGTGGAGGCGGAACAGTAGCGGCTCCCTCCTCTTGCCACACTAACCCCTGCCTGAACTTGCGATGTGTCTGTCCCACGGGCCTTTTCCTCACCCCGAACTGTCACATGCTTTACTTTGTCACATGCCCCCCCGCGGCCGTCCACTCTCCCGACCACAGTGTTTGCAAATGTACGCAGTGATTCCTTTTCTTCTCATCCTTCCACCTTCTCCTTTCTCTCCGCGCTGCTTCACCATTTACCTCGGAGCGAAGTTGAGCCAAGAGAAATGTTGAGGGAGGGTTAGGATGTATATCAGAGTGACAGATTATGTTTTGAGTACAGAATCGTGCTGCTATGGGTAACATTATCTTAAATCTCCAACATCTCATTTTTCTTTCTTAATAAATTTTGTCCTTCATTTCATATTCTTTTCCACCATTTTTCATGCAAATTTGTGGAAATGTGTTTCGATCTTGTGAATGAAGTCTGTTCCGATTGCCCACTGTATGTCAGTGTGATTTGTTTCCCAGAGTTTGATCCAGAGTCTGCCAAATTGAACTTTTGCCCTTGAGTACAGTCTAGTCGATGTCTCTAACTCTGGCTGAGCTCTGTGGGGCCGTTGCACTGACGGCCCCGGCCAGAGCCGGTGGTGGCGCAATAGCCCCACAGTGGAGCCGCGCTCTTGATTGGGCCTTTTAGGTCGGTTTCTCTTAAGCAGGGTTTAGCATGAGGCAACAGCTGGCACAAGTTTATGGATGGAGGCCGTTGGTGAGAAGGGAGAGGGGAGGGAGAGGGCAGGGAGACGGGAGGGAGAGGGCAGGGAGAGGGGAGGGGCGGTTTACAGGCAGTTTTTCAAGATAATCCCAACACCCTGACCCTTGAACGAAGCCTCTGGGCACAGTTGTGGCCGACGGTGGGGATTGAGCACAAGAAATTACAGCGGTGGAGTGGGATAAAGCTTCCTAAAGCTTCTACAACTGGTCGCTCCGCTACACCAATCCTCGTTTTTGATTGGTGGGGAAAGAGTTACCTTAAAAAAACTCGGCCACTTCTTCCTTTTACATGTCTTTTTAGTCATCCAGAGATCCGAATGGTTTTTACTCACTGCTTATGAATTGAATTTCAAACTTCTGACCTCTGTACATCCTCAGCCTGGCCTCCAGTGAAAAGCTGCACATTTGAACATGTAGCTGTTTTTTAATCTTGAATTGTTGTCCATTATTTTTATTTTTTCTGTTCCTTATTTGTATTTCACACATTACTTTTAGCACAACCTTAGGTAAACTCCACATCGCATTCCTCCACATATTTTAGTTGTGTATCTGACAGACAAACTTCAGATTCATTGACTCAATATGGTAATTATTCCAGTAATTAAATCTATTGTATGTAAACAGTGCTGATTTAATGTAGCACTGTACCGTACAGATATATATATATAATTTCTTATATTATATATATATAACGCATATTATTAATATTAGACTGCATATTCATAGCCCTGTCTATAGCCTATATTTTGACACCATGCCACTACCTCCTGCTGTGACCTGTGCAATGTTCCCTATCACTCACATCTCTATATAAAAAGCTGAGTGTACATACAATTCTTATTCTACTTTCATTTTCTGTTCTGTTTTTGTGTATTATCAGAAATGTGTATTTTCTGATCTGCTGTGTTGTATCTGGAGCTGCTGTAGTGAGTGGGTTTCCCCAATGTGGGATCAATAAAGTCTATTTATCTTATTTTAAAGATAAACTGTATCCTGAAGTCTATGACACTATGATTACACCCCCCAACCCCTAAAAGTCATAGGGCACTCTAAAAACCAATGGATTAAAACTTGACCCAGTGCAGGTTCACTTTACCCAGCAGCGTTGTTCTGATCCAGTACTGGGTCCATCCACTGAACTGGGTCAAAACAGCCCACTGGGTTCTGGGTAAAGTTGATATGGCGTCAGCGCTATACGACACAAACATTTATTCTTAAGTTACTTTTGTGTATGATGATAATAATAAAAAGGAGTTACTGACCAATTACATTTATACAAACATGTATATGTAATATGTACATTAAAGTTAAATCCAAATGAAACAAATAAATAAATAAAAATGATATAAACCACCATTACATCAGTTGATTGTAATGTTAATGTAGGTCTATTTCATTTCCACTATGTATGTGTTTTACACATTATCTTAAATTCTACAAATGTTGATTAATTTATAATTAAATATATGATAATTAAAACATACTTAACTGCATGCTATAAAACTCTACAAGTCTGTCTTTTTAATTATTTTTTATCAGTCTTTTGATAATTCATATTCTTCTGAAACTGCCTCACAGCCACAACTTACACATAATAATATGACATAAAATAAGAGCAATAGGAGCTCATGTGTATTGCAGATGATAAAGTCACATGCTGAGGCTAACTGTGACTTACAGGAATATTTAATGCTTGTGTTTCATTATAACAGGTCACTCTACTGGTTCTTGTTGCTAAAGAACAATGCACTTTGTTCACTTTCATTTGGATTCAGCTGTTTATAATTTATAATAAGTTTACAACTCAAACTCTGGTATAATGTTACTGTGTCAGGTTGATCGAAGACTCTTCTCTTGCAATCCGCCAGAAACAAATTTCACTGGAATTCTGCACTGCTGGCTGCTGGGAACCGTGGACTCTGTCGATCATGTTTCCTGTGCCGTGCCCAGTCGACTGCACATGTGTAAATCTACATAAACGGTCAGGCATCATGTGCCCGCGGGCTGTATGACTCACCGTCTGCGCTGTGCAGGAGGTGTCATTAGGAGAGGAAGACGCCTTAAAGAATCAGTAAGTTCAGAAAAGGAAAATAACAAATGAAGAAACTGTTTACTTTAGCTGAGAAATCCTTAAATCCTCCAGGTGTGTGGATATTTAAAAACCCCCCAAAAAGTATTTAAGTTTATGAGGAATTGTGAACCGTATATTGGATCTGACTGCAAGCTTTAAAAACAAGAATGTTAACTTGAATTTATCGGGCGTATGTTTGAGAAATCTGTGAAAAAAAGTCATTTCTGTTGCTGTTCATGTTCCTCAGGCTCTTAAAACAACTGTTCTCGCCCCAGTTCCCAAGTTAAACAACTCTGACATCTGTGCCAGTGCAAAAAAACATACAAGATCCCTCATGTGAGATTAACAGTCCAAATATGTCCTCGCTGCATCCCCTAATACTTTCTTCTGTTACATTTGTCCCCGATATCAATAATAAATCAGTGCAATCGGACAAATGGAACGGTTCTTTTAGGACATTTCTGCGACTGTATTTTTAGCCAGCTTTTATTCCCACACATTATTTACTGCATGTGCACCGCCTGCGGCTGTTAGAGGAGCGCAAAAATGCTCCGAGATTACGTTTGTATACCTTCCATTTCTAACCCGCACGTGCTTCTCACTCCAGCCAGAATGCTTTCTCCTGCCAATGTTGTGTATTTTTCCATCTGTTTCTTTCATGTAGGATCTTTGAGTCCAGCCAGTGGGACGGCAGATGGAGGCATCACAACAGACTCCGCATTAATACTTAATACCACGAAACATCGCTCATGCATCCTTTTAAACGGTTCAAAAGACACAAAAATGGGATGATTTCATTTTGTTAGTACTTTGAACTCCAGTCCGGGCATGAATAGAATATTTCAGTGCATGTGCAAAGAGATGCCCCCTCTGCCATTTACACATGCTCTGCTGAGCCACTTTTATTCCGTTTTTTCTTGTATTCGCAGTTTGTTCTGAGTTCAAATCAGAGAAAAAAAAACATTTGTACATAAAACACAGATGAATAGAAAATCAGAAAACTGCTCAAAATAGCAAAAAAAAAAAAAAAAAAAATCAATAAGTCAAATCAAAAGTGGCTCACTCCTTCAACAAATGTCCCTGTGATGGAAAATTATCAAAGTGTCTCAGTGGCCTCATGGGCCCTGTCTAGTCTGGAACCTGTCAATCAGTCTGTGAATAAACACCAGGACAGTCTAACTGGAGTAACTGGGACACATCACTTTAACCCAATAGTATTTGCATCATGGGAATGACAGCTCTGTGGAAACTGTATTAGAAAAAAAAAATCCATCTTTTGATCATCTGCAGCACTCAGCTCTGGGAATGACCAGTAGGGATGCTGTTGTCTGCGAAATCCAGCAGACACACACACACTCACACACACTAACACACACACTCAGTACCTTTAATCTCTTTTTACTCTCATCCAGTCCAGTCCTATTAGGTGCTAGGCAGGGGGAAAAAAAAAAAGCTCAGAGGGGGACCAACTACAGTCCCATAGACCCTCGGCTCTGTTAAGCACACTGAAAACTCATCTTTTTAGCCTCTCTCTCTCTCCTCTGTCTACCTCTCTGTGCCTCTTCAGTCCCAGGCTCCATAATGCCACATCAATACCGCAGCAGGGAGGAGGCACCGCACTAATGTAAACACACAGGTCGACCTCGCTTTGCTCCCCGTGGCCGACGCCAGAGAAGAAGAAAACGCAGCACAAAGGAGGGATGAAAAAGGTGAGACGTGTCATCCCGATTAGATTTAATAACAGAGGAGGAGGGGAGGAGAAAAACAACAGCAGAGGAGGAAGATGGAAAGGCAGTTTAAACTGGATGCTGTGCAGATGTCACTAAAATGGCAGCATGGGCATAAGTCAGGCATTAAGAATGGCCACACTCTGAATGGCTCCTGTATGTTGGGACTTGTGAGAGAGCCGAACAGGACCAGCGGGTAGCCGGGTGCGCCTCTCGAGCCTTAATCCTCCGCACTCTGAGTGGGAAAGGCAGGAGGAATTGAATTTTTCACAGTTGTTACTATGGCGGTGGGAACCTGCTGCTGCTCTTTCTGCGAGTCATAAAGTATTCAGTCAGCGCTCCTCTACTGTTTGACACTTTTTTCTCCCCCTGTGTACTTTTAGGCCGGACTGAAAGACTTGCTGTTTTTCACAGAATCCTGCGAAAGGCCTCCAACTGTGACATGCTAACCCCTTTCAAATGTCGGATCATCACTGGGGGACGGTCGCTCTCAAGATGTAAGTACAGGGTTATTACGCCGGGCAGTCCGAATTAGATTTTGGGTTGATGAATCAGTAAACAATTCCTCCAGCCTTGTGTATTTCTGAGGCATTTTTTATTGTATTTGTTGAAATTCCCTCTACATCCCGACGGCAATGAATAAATTATATGCTCTGAAAAAAAGATGAATAAAATCTGTATCTGTGGCTGTCGCAGGCCCGTAACGAGCCCAGCCAATCATCTCATTCATTCAGCCCGGATGAAAGGATTGGCTGTCCTACCTGCCCGTCTCCCTGCCCGCAGAGGTGGCAAAGGTACACACATTTTTAGTACAGTAAAAGTAGAAGTACTGATTCAGTAAAAGTACAGGCTCTGAAATGTACTCAATGTCTAAAGGACTCAGTTGGTTTCTCTGAGGGACATTCTACTGGCTCCTTCTGTGCAAAGCCAAAGGAAAGTTCAATTAGAGTCGAGTCTGTTTCGTATTTTACATATTTTTTGTCCTGTTACATCTGTCATCTGAGATATGGATGGGATGTTGGGAAGCCAGGTAATGATGCAAAAAATAATAATAGTCGATAATCCCCCTCAAATGCTTTAAAACCTGAAGTAACAAGGAGTAAAAGAGTACAAATATTTGTGTAAATGTTACAAATGAAATGAAAATAAATACTGACATAAAGTACAGATACATTACCTGAAAAGCTAAAAGGCATTGTTTTGGTTGGATACCTTCTCCGACATTAGCTTTAAACAATGCACATGAGCGTTTTCTAATCATAAGTTTTGCCAACTGAAAAAAAAATGATTAGGGTGACAACAACAAAAACAATAACAAGCTGCCTTTTTTTACAGAAGAAGCTGGTTAGCTGTATGAGGTGTAACATACTTCACAGAGCTAACGGCCTGCTCCCCAAACGTTACGAGTGTGACGCGAGGTTATCCAACTACTAATATCTTATTATTAGTGGTAGTAGTAGAGACAATTAACCTCCTACTCTTGAAGTTTCTGAGTGGGGTTAACACATTTCTAAACAGTTATGTGAGTTTTTCTGCTGTGAGATTTAACATGAAAATCAGGACTCAGCAAGCACAAGGCTTTTGTGTTAGCCTGAAGGTGATATTTTCTTTGTCACTGGCACGCTGTTGGTTTCCTGGTGGGTGAAGTGGATGACTAATGCTTTCATAATCATTAAATTAGAGTTCACACAATAGCTTCTTTGATAGCCAAAACACTTGGTCAATTTGAATTGTACTTTTGCAGTTAAAGCTGAATTCATTTATTCTGTGGCTATTTAGGGGCAGCGAAGCTAAAACAAGCTAGGAAAACACAACACCTGACGTTAACGCCTCATACATTGTGATGGTGAAAGTGCCATAGTGTCCACCTGATGAATGTAAGTCCATATTCACTCTTCCTTTAGCTCCGATTTGGTCCGGTTGTTTAGCTGCTAAATGCTCTGCTATGTTCACAAGCTAGTTTCTAACTTTGTCTTCTGTTCAGTGCTGGGCTCTGGTAAAAAGTGCCAAAAGCAAAAGTGAAAAATCCAACAGGTCAGTGCAGGGAAAACAGCAGAAACAAGGCAACACAAGACTAAATACACAGGTGAGGGGAAGGATAACAAGATATAGGTGAAAATGAAGGACATGAAGTGAACAACAACACACAAGAGGAGAAGTTTGGGTCCAATCCTCAAGCCACGACCTGAGTGCTCACACTGCTCGTGTAAAATAGAACGTATATTGGTCCTTAGACCCCGGTGAACCATTCTGTCTCTTGTTGCTAACAAGGCAAACTGCCGTGATCATTCATGCCGCCTTGTGTACCGACTGTGCCTCCGTTTAGGAACTTCCTCTCATTCATATCGGTTGTGATCACGGAGGCACACAAGTTGTAGCCACACCTCGACCAGCCTCCATATTTTCCATCCATGGCACTTTCAGACAGTTCGCACAGACGCTGCAAGACAAACGGCACAAACTTTCGGCCAACCAAAAATCAGAAATTCCCCCAAACATCAGACCTTCGGGGCAGTTGATTGGTCCCCGCTACCCCCTGTACACTGCATGGCAAACAATGCCTGACGAAGCTGAAATTCGGGCCGACTCTCAAATGAATCGTGCATCTCAGTAACTGGCTCAAATCGTACAGCGTATGCCCAGTTTAAGTGGTCGGAGGACAGTCTTATTTAGGGTGGGGACACCAACCAGTATGAGTGAACACTGATCATCAGGCAGGGCAATATGTGTTGGCCAATGTGTTCTCCAATCGTGAGTGTTGCCCCTATTTTCTCCATTAATCCTGCTGCTGTCTGCACACAGTCTGAGTTACAGCTAACACAAGGACTTGTTCTCCTCCCTTCAGAGCTACATAATCCATAAGACTAACTATGAATGCTTAAGTTTGTTTTGGCAGCATATTTTGACTGTGCTCAGGTTGAGTTATTCCTTTTTACTTCAATACATTATGCTACGCTCTGCTTCTTGTCAATCACCTGACACCCACAAGAAGAAGCGAAGGCCGGGGAAAGGATACTGCAGTAACACTCAGTGTCAGAAACTTTAATGCTACATCCATGTCGACATGTTTTTCTTCTGTTACACCATGAAGTTAGTGTTCGGCATAAAAAAAAGCATGAAATTCCCAACTTTTGTGGAAGAATTGTAAACTGAGGCAGACAAGAAATAAATATTTCTGGGTGAAATGCGCAGGTTGGCAGTCACTGTTTGAGGTTTTAATGCAAGATTTGTTATAGAGGAAAGCAAAAGCGTGTTATTGTTTGGCAAACTGTGTTATTTTCATATTCAAGGATGTCTCCATTTACTGACTGATACATTCTTTATTTTTTCCCCCCATGTAGATTTTAGAAGGTCAAGTGATGTTATCGTTCAGAATAATTAGAAGTGCAATTAAACACACTTTGGATCATTTTCTCTCTGTCCCATTGCTGAGTGTGTTTTGAAGTATGCAGTGCATCCTTGAGGGGTTATTAGAGCCGAGACTTGCAGAGCAGACAGAAAAAAGAGAGTAAGGGAGCTCCTAACCCGCTGGCCTTGATGTCTAGACACCAAGTTGGGGGCTAATCGAAGAGATCAAACAGATTTAACACTTCACTAATACAGATCAAAGACTTCCCAGCCCATATTTGGCATGGGGAGGATAGAGAAATTAATTTGGGACCCAATGTGGACGAGCACAGGGACAATAGGCTGATTATAGTTTGACGCATCAGGGTGAAGAAAACAAAAAGAAAATTAAAATTGACAGTGCGAAGGGAATCTGAATTTGTTCTTTGTCTATTCAGTTAAGTGCTTTGATTTCACAGCAGTGAAAGAGGTGTTGAATGAGTTATTATGCCAATATATTTGCACAGTTTCATCCCAGGCTGCATGCATGCAACCCCCCACCCCACCTGCTGTGTATGTGTGTGTGTGTGTGTGGTTGGACCCCGTGGCTTTGATACCAATCAGGATGTCCAAACAGCCTGAGCCCTTCATCAACCTTTACTGCTCCTGCAATCAACAGGCAAATCAGACGAGAATGTAAAAAGAGCAAAAACCAATCAATTTGTGCACGAGGGACCGGTTTAACTACCATTTACAGGAGCAGGGGAGAGTTTCACTGAATTCTCCTCATGCTCGTTCTGAGGACATATTAACTATAATGACACTGCAGCTACTGTGTATATTCTTGCAGTTATCAGAAGAGGATCCAACTATTTTTGGACATGTGTGCGTAAACAGGCAGCAACTTCCCCATGGCAGTAGCTGATTGACATCTGAAGGACTACGTCACCAGGAAACAGGCTGCCCTGCTGAAGAACGTCAACGATACAGAGTGATAATTTACCTGTTAGCTCTCAGCCACGCTATTTGTCCATTCAAGTTTGCATTCCACTTGGAACGTTAGTTAGCCTAGCTTGCTATTGGTAGCACTAATTCCCCAAAGAAGTCACGTTCTGTTATTTCAGCACGTATGTATCCATCCACCTGTTCTGATGTGCATTTCAATTGGAAAACTAGAAACATAAAAATGTTGGGTTGGTGTATTGTAATAAAGTGTTAGCGAATAAATCATGACGTACATGAAGCATTGATGCAAACATCATCCACTGAAGTTTCCTCTTCACTGGTGAGATGACAAATGGCCGCAGACAAAAACTGTGTGGAGCGATGAAGAGGCCGTAACATTCTTCAAACTGATACATGAAACAAACAGAAAAATCACATTTCCACCACGCTCTCCACGTTCCATGTGAGGCAGCTGGAGTCAGAGTCTATCTTGCCAGCCTTCAAGCTGTGCACTCGTGTCCGAACACAGTGGCTACAGACCAATGAGGGACTACTGGAACTGAGGCCTGAGCTGCGGGCGTGGTTTATGCTAGGTGTGTGCAACGATGTGAGTGAGAAGTGACTGTTTGATGCCTCTTTAGGAACTGTTTTTCGAGCCGTTATAACAGAACTGTCATTTTTTTCCCATTGAAAGAAGAGCAAGGAAAGACACTGAAGGCTCCTCTCAGTGGATGGTTGAGAAAGCAGGATATGGTGTTGACATGTGCAATGCATAACGCACTCACTTAGGTTTTCAGACAGGTAATACATCAAAGTGAATAATGTGTGAATATTGTCCTTTTATTTTACATTTACATTATTACTGCAGTTATTCTGGTCCCGGAATCAGTGAACTGATCACTATTTGTTAATTTATTCGACAGCTGAAGGCCTTGAGTTGTTTGTTATGAAGGTTTATGAGCTCTGCTGGGGCTTCATTGATTAATCTTTAGTCGAGTTAGTAGTAGAAGTAAATTAGCATCCCCAGCATGAGTGCGCATTCACTTTTTGCAAGCCAGTGTGTGCATACATATGTTTAAATGTTTTTTGCATGTACTTATGGATTATGAGCCAATGGGCCCCTGGGCTCAGACATGTTAATGGCCCCCCACCTCTTTCACCAGAGTAAGAGACGCACAAAAGAACGAGAAACAACATATTTTCTATGTGTCTTTGTGGCTTTATG